AAGACAGGCTGTGTTTCGCGCGTTTCGGTGCAGTCGTCGAGAGGACCGGTTCCGGACACGACTCGCGTTTGGCCGGTCGGCCACGTCTTCGGCCCATCCGCTCGTGCGATGACAAGTGTTGCGCGAAAACACTCAACTCATCCATTGTTGTCATTCTTGTGGTGTTGTTGTGGTTGTGATCACCGCTTGGATCACAAGTCGTTCAACGAGTCATTCAATAAACGTCTGTCTGTTTTGGCGCTCAAACCATACTTTGCTTTCACTTCCTTCACAAACACTATTCACATATTTGTTGCACTTTTATTACACATTATATTGCGATTAGTGTTTGAAATGGGGTTTGTTATAAACTCACGCAATATATTGTAAATTCATTATAAATACAATAAATTGTATTTTAATTGTGTTTTGGTGTTAATAATAGACAGATATATCAATATATTTGACACAAATTGTATAAAAAGTCAATTAATATAGATTTGAATGTATTTTAGACGCCAATTGGGGGCACAATGTTTGGTGTGTCGTAACGTTGTTTGCGAAGAGTATTGAAAAGCATTGGAAACTGTATTAGAGTTTATTAATAGGAAATTCATATAAAGTGTTGTATTGAGTGATTGANCAATGTTTGGTGTGTCGTAACGTTGTTTGCGAAGAGTATTGAAAAGCATTGGAAACTGTATTAGAGTTTATTAATAGGAAATTCATATAAAGTGTTGTATTGAGTGATTGACTGATAGAGTGATTGAGTGCTACGGATATATAGGCGTCGGCTTTGTTTGAATCAATTGATTGTCACTTTTGGTGATTACATTTGCGCCAACACTATGTCTGACACACCCGTCGCCGACCACGAGGTGTCCGAAGAGGACACCAACTATAGGCCACCGCCAGAGAAGTCACTCGACGAGATCGTCAACGCCGACAAAGAGGACGAAAGTCTTCAGAAGTATAAACAGACGCTTTTGGGCGCCGCCGCCGCCGATGTGGTGGTCGTCGACGGAGACAATCCCAACCGAGTCATCGTCAAGAATCTGGTCCTCGTAGTCGATGGCAGACCCGATGTTGTACTTGACTTGAGTCCAGGTTTGACGCCCACTACTGATCGCTCATTCATTGGTTGACTGATGTTATGATTGTCTCAATAATAGGTAACTTAGAGGCCGTGAAGAAGAATGTGTTTGTCATCAAAGAAGGCATTCAATACAAGATCCGCATTGAGTTTATAGTGCAAAGAGAAATAGTGACGGGTCTTAAGTATCAGCAAAAGATCTCTCGACACAGCATTCAAGTGGAGAAAATGAATCAAATGGTGGGAAGTTATGCCCCGAAGCATGAGATGCAGTCCTACACGAGTCCTATGGAAGAGATGCCGTCCGGACTCCTATCGCGCGGTACTTATCACGTGACCTCTCTATTCACCGACGATGACAATCACGAGTGGTTGAAATGGGACTGGAATTTCGAGCTCAAGAAGAATTGGTAGTCACACCTAATCACGTCCCGTACCTGTGATTACGACCTTAATTGTTCCCAAACTATATGTGCCTTTCAGTGTCTCCTCTTTCAACACTCGTTCAGATTTGTTGTCAGAAATCCAAATCATATTTCATATAAATTTATATAAAAACCCTTTTATGAACAAAAAAGCAAACGATTATGAATTGAAATTACAATATAAATATATTTATAAATCCAAAACCTATTTAACTTTTTTATCCCTAAATTATAAATAGAGTTTATTTAAATCAATGAAAGTTTGATCCAGGCCTTTTTCTTATTTTTTGTATAATTATGAAACCAATTATATAAATATAAATATCCAATAAATGATTAATAATTAAAATGCGTTTTTGTCTTCAATGAATGGCGATAACAATGAAACCTATGAACCCATTGGGAGATAACAATTATTGGCGATAAAATGTTATGTATTGTATTTTGAATCTAAAGATTATACAACGAATATAATAAATATTTTGTTCAAATTTCTTCATAACTTACTTCAAAAGCTGAGATTTTATACTTTAGAATAGGTTCAGAATAGTAAACACATTTGTTTAGAAAATAATGTTTTTAATAGTTCTCAAGACTCGTTACAAATTTACAATTAATAAACAATACAATTGTTAATTAATTTAAAGTGAATCAAAAAGTGTCATTTAAATAGTTATGTATCACATAAACCACCATAAACCATGTATCACAATATAATCAATAATTTGATTCGCAATCTTTGTTTGACAACAGAATCTTACGATATAATTAAAAATAAAATATTTTAAACTCAAAATTCATGATTTCAATTACATTTGATAGTCATTTATATTAATTAAGTTAATAAAAATCTAAAGTAATTTTGAATTTCATTTCTACGAAAACCAAAAATAAAAATAATTTGTGGAAAAATAAAACTTCCAATTCATGATTGTATAACCAAATCAACGATCAAATCAATGATTTAAATTAATTGTAAAATGTTTGAATAATTGGCTGGTAATCAGGTTTTGAGCAAAAAATACTGTTCATTATTATCACGGCTTTTGTTTGCAACCAAACAGACTATTCGTATTCAAGGATCTGTTTGTGATAAAACAGTAAATATCTGAAAATACAAGTTTTCGATTAAAGTTAAATTACAATCAATACAAATGTTGTTCAATATATACATTCAAAACAATAGCATACCCTTCGCTGTCGAGCACTTCTTGAACACTGGCGCGCATTATGAGGTGATCATCACATTTAAACCATTGGTCGCGATGCTGTCTAATAAACGCCGTGTAATGTCCCGTCTCTATAGTTCCGGAATGATTGACAACAGCGAACAAACAGTATCTAAACAATTCACACAATCATCAAATTATTCAAAATAAATAACGCTTAATGTCTCACTTATTATCATTATGTGGAACACCATTGATATATGTGTTGACATTAGAGCCATCAGTAGAACCAGTCCCAGAACCGGTACAACCAATCTTAGAGGCCATGAATGGAGTCATATCCAGATATTGAGGAAATGATATAAAACTTGAAATTTTTTTGTGGAATCGACTCGAGTGTTCAAAACGCTATAATTAATACAATGTAATTAGTGTTAACTCTTATATTTAGTAATCATTGAATTAATAATAAGTACTTTAAGATGAAAGCTGGCGACGACCGGTAACTTCTTGAGGGACAGCTGTTTAGTCGACTCCTGATAGCTCTGACAGGAACTGCACTTTATTTTGGCAGAACTTCCCAAATGTTCGGGTCGTGTAAATCGTTCCAAACAATCGATCAATGATTTTGGCTCCGATTCATCACAAACCGCTTGTGTCGATGAAGTGGCTCTTTGTTGACGCATATGAAGAGATGGACCCAAATCCAGACTGAAGTCCCAAATCGGGTCTTCAACCGAACTCACGCCTCTGTATAACATTTCATTCAATTATTAATTAAATACATTATAATTTGTGTTTTAATAACTAGTTTTAATAAAACAAGACAAAGGGTTGACTCACTTGCAGGACTGACAAACCACATCCGACTGAAGACTTCCAGTAAATATTTGATCGATTATACAATTACAATGAATGGGGCTATTATTGGTCGGACCGTTCGTACCTTCAGTGACAATAAAACTCTAATATTGACTCTACGATCACAATAATGGCAAACCTCTGCAGTGACGGTGCAATACATCAAGTGTTGCTATGAAAAACTCGTGAGCGTCTTGTTGTTCATAACCGGCCAAATGTCTGGCGTGAGTCCAAACCAAATGCAGTAACTTGTATGGCGTGTGCGGCGAACTTTTGCCCGAATAAAACTGTTGGCCAGACATCGGCGCCGAATAACATTTAACATAAAGTGATATGAGTTAAGCCTCTGTTACTACGAGTGGTAAACAATTGAGTGCAACCTCTTGGAAAAGTCGGGACATTTCGCAGACCAAACACATGGACGGGTCGTCTTCGAACTGACAGATGTGTCGATCGGCCAGAAAATAATCCCGAAGAAGTGGAGTGTGAGTTAAGGCCTGAACAATACAGTTCATGAAACACGTGTTCCCGAGATTTATCAGACCTCGAAGTCCTTCATTTAGTGAACAAAATAATGAATAAAATTGTTGTAAAAGATAGAAAAAACAATGAAATGCTAACCTATGTGTGAATTATCGGAAATACGCTTTCTTTGCGGATTGTCTTTAAGTACTTGCAGTTCTTGAGACGTCGGTTCCCACATATAGTACTGTACACAACGAGCTCCGCATACTTTGTCTGCTCTGTGTTTTTGTTTTTTGGCGATTGTCTCGAAGTCTTTGTCGTGCATATAGTCTTCACACGTGAAACAATAGATGTGTCCGTACGAGAGATCCATCGCTATAAACATAAGACACCAATGAGTGAGCCATTGATTGGCAAAACAATTTCAATTGCAATTATCACCTAAATTGTGATTTTGTGTCTTCGAGTGTTCGTGGATGTGATGACCAGTAAAACAGCCGAAGAATACGCAATAAAGACAGGAATGAAGTCTCGAGACGGGGAGCCGACACGTGAAGCAAATCGAGTTGCGAGCCTTCGAGGAGACAATGGTTGAAGTGAGTGATAATGGCATCGATTGTGACACAAACAGACCTTTCGTTTCCTGGACTCATGAGTTGTGACAGAAATGAATTGTTTGTAAATAATTTGATACGAATTGAGACCATATTTGTGTTTAAATGAATCCAAATGTTGACAAATGCTTGAACTCATCCTTTGGTGATAGTATGCGACCAATCGATCACTTGATCCTAAATCACAATCGGATTATCATTTCATTTGATTTACAATTAAATATAAACTATAATAACATTTGATTGTTGTATAAAACGATACATTTATTGTACAACTCATTCATCAATACGTCCAACACTTTTGGCCCCCATTTGGCCCCCAAATGATTGCACACATTGAATGGCAATACGAATCGCAGAGTTATTCAATTGTATACTCATTTGTTAACTAATTATAATTGCAATTTTATGTATCATAAATTGAATTGAATTTAGTAATTATTAATATTTATAATGGATTATTATACTAATATTATTTGTATTATTATCCATTAATATTATATTAGGTATGATGGTACAGCGAACGACCATGCAACATACATGTTGATTGTAACATTCTCTAATATTGTATTTAAACTATTTTATATATTGAATGTAAAACTTATTAATTTAAGTGAATTCAATATATTGTCTGTCAATTTAGAAGATTTTAAAAATAAACACTTATTTCGATATCGTTTACAACATTTTTGTTTCAAATGAAGCATTAATTCAACGAATACAACGAATGCATGAATTAAATCATTAGACAAACTATTTGTCTGTGATTTATAATATGATAAATCTATAAGAATATAATCGAGATTTATCTATATTGTAACAATTTTACGTCTATATTATAGTAATTTCAAACTAATTGGTTAATTGGTTAACACAATGAATAGAGGAGTGATGAAAGGGAGGGATAGGAATAGTAGTGAATTGTGAACATATTGTTGAATACAAATTCTGTAAATGCATCAACACTTTTAGAGAATGGCTTAAAATACAAAAACAATAAAATCATTTGGTTTTGATTGACAATCAGTTTAGTAAAGTATAAACAAAGTTTTATTATAAAAATGCCACCATAATTGTGACCATGATTCTTTTATAGTTAATATTGCATGCTAAATGTATTAAAGAATATATTTATTTAAAATTAAAATTCTTTTAGAAGTTATGTCAATATATCTTAACTTTTACTTTAAAATTAATTTATTAATTGTTGTATTATTAAATATAATAGAATTAAGTGATAGTTTTAGTGATGAAATTCAACCATCAAATGATCATTACATGAATGTATGGGCAGTGCATATAACTACTGGAATTGAAGGGACCGAGAGAGTAGCTCAAGACCTGGGATATATTCATATCGGACCCGTAAGTTATTATGTTATATAATTTTTAAATATTTGATTATATAGCGACTATAGCTTATAACTTATTAATATATCCAATAATTTGTTAATTATCTTTAACTAATTTAATTACATGCAAATCAAAACTTATTTACTATATTTATTTTATACTGTATCGATAAAATGCTATTCTTTATTAAATTATTTACTTTAAGTTTTTGATGTAAAATTAAAAATAATAAAATAATTAACATGGTGGTTAATGTAATATTATTAAAATAATTTAGCAAGTATTTTGTGAGATAAAATATAAATATAATTTTGTAAAATAAACTATAAGTAAATGTGTTTATATAGTGGGAAAATATGTTAAATCTAAAGTAAGCCTGTCCAAAGTGTTTTTAGTATATCACAGATACAGATTCACAGTATGTCATAAAAAGGTGGCGCAACGGTCAGTAAAAAGTTTAGGTTTGTCAGTATTAAACAAGAAACACCGCGTGAAGGTCAACCTAATAGTTTCTCATCCATTTTTATAGTGGTTGGCTTTCAGTCTATCCACAAAATGTCACATAAAACAAAATTTAATTATTAAACACACTTTTTAATGAGATTTGTGATAGTATTTGCGATTATCAACAATTTTATTAATATTTGACTTAATGTCATTTGATGACCATATTTCCAAACGTGATTTTAATATTTTTGCGCAAATACTACCAGTTTTGTCATTTTTAATCGATTTCATTAGGGAAAAAATGTTCACAATTAAAAGTAGNAATTTTATAAAATATAATGTTTATACTATTATCAAAAATTTATTGAACAAAATAAAATTAAAAATTATAAAGCTAAAATTTCATCAATATTAAAATGTTTTAAAAACACTAATTTTTTGCTCGAAATTATACAATATTCTTGAAATAAGTTTTAAAACAAAAAATGTAGTTTTTAATTATTAGACGAATTATAAAGTTTGCGTTAATTTACTGTGAAATTGTATTTTTAATGTTAAATACGTGATAATTATCTGAATTTCATAAATCAATATTGACATCAATAGTTACAAAAACCAACGAATAAATGATATAATTATTACAATAACTTCTATATTCATTGATAAATTAATCTTAACATAAATAATTGCTGCAATAATATACAATATACTGTATTACTATCGCAAACACAACATTTTTCTTTTATAAAGTTTTATATTTTAACTAAAATTTCTCAAAAAGTTTATTTAAATATATTTTTCGGTTAAATATAATTACAAAAGCCATCGGTTAAAATATATGTATACTTTTTGTTAATTATTAATAATAATTTATCATTTATTCGTTGGTTTTTGTAACTATTGATGTCAATATTGATTTATGAAATTCAGATAATTATCACGTATTTAACATTAAAAATACAATTTCACAGTAAATTAACGCAAACTTTATAATTCGTCTAATAATTAAAAACTACATTTTTTGTTTTAAAACTTATTTCAAGAATATTGTATAATTTCGAGCAAAAAATTAGTGTTTTTAAAACATTTTAATATTGATGAAATTTTAGCTTTATAATTTTTAATTTTATTTTGTTCAATAAATTTTTGATAATAGTATAAACATTATATTTTATAAAATTTAAACAATTCTTGATAAGGTGCTTTACTTAAGAATACATAATTGTATGAATGAATTACATAATTGTAATTATTTTGGGTATATGTGTGGGTTGGGGGCGCACTGAGTATGGACTATCATAAATATCCGTGGTCATTATTTTTGTCTAGGTGTTATATAGCGATGGACTTATTATAGCTAAATTCCGCTGTATATAAAGTACAAATATTTGAATTGATTTTAATGACTAAAATGTGCCTAAAATCCATTTTCCTGATCTCAATCTCTTGCCAATTGCATAGAAGTTCCCAACTATTCTATTCACTGCACCCCTACTGGTGAACCAGTGGTGATACATGTTATCACTCCAATTGCTACTTAAAAAAGATTTTAAAATAGTTTAACAAAAATTCTCGCAGAATTTTTTGTATATTAATAGACTATCAATGATATCTAGGTGATTAATAAGTATCCGTTAAACGGATACGCAAAAACCTCCCAAACGAAATGAGCTAGATCAAATCTGTAAATGGTAAAATAAAGTGCTATTTGTCTAGTTTTTTTAGCTGAAAATTATTGAAATTACGTGACTAAATGTTAGAAATTTTTGGTACAATTTAAAATGATCATAACTATAGTTAAGATGAAGTGGTCGGAGGGAGGGGAGATGTCAAAGGGTAATAATAACTTGGAACCACCCTCATCGGATCGCTGTAGCAAACTGTGGCAACTTTTTCATGTTAACCTATAGGGATGAAAAAATATTATATTAAAATATAATTAACTATATTTTTAACAACAATTCATTTATGGTTAAACATTCGTTAACCTGTACACAATTTAGGATTATCAGAGTTTTCAAAGTATCTTAATTCTAATCAGAATAGTCGTGCTAATAAAATTTGGTGTAAGAAGTATTTACTTATAACTTTTAATTTTTATAAATTTATTTTGATTGACAACTGTCCATAAATTCAGTGATGTTCTCACAATCAATAAATAATTATGGTTTTTTAAATTTTAATATATTTTTAATGTTTAATATTTGAAATTAATTATAATGAAGGCAATTAAAAATAATTTTCATCAATGGTTCCTAGGATTTATCGAATTTGTGTAATAATTATTTATACAGTACAGTGTGTTAACAGTTTTAAATCTAGATAAATTTTCAAACTTTTATAGTAAATTAGAAAATTGCACAGAATATTGAATATTTATTTAATTGTACTTTTATTGAGTTTGATATAGAAGTGGATTATTTTAAAATATAAATATAATTACAGATAACTGGATTCAAAGATTTTTATCTACTGAAAAAAGTGGGTCATCCGAGACGAAGCCGACGTCACGCCAATCACTATACAGACCA